CTACTACCTACTACCTACTACCTATACTACCTACTACCTACTACCTACTACCTACTACCTACTACCTACTACTACTACTACTGCTGCTGCTGCTGCTGCTACTACTACTACTACTACTACTCTACACGGCCGGTCAGGCTTCGGCCTCATCTAAGGGGTGCCTTTTCCTTTCTTCCGGTGTTTCCTTTCCTCCGGTGGTTTTGGTGGTTGGTGGGGTGCACGAAGCAAACCGAGGGCTTCATGCACTACAACCTCATACATATATATATATATGTATGTATATGTGTATATATATATATAGATTTTTGTTGTTTCGCCGTCTCCCCAGGCTTCGGAGGCCAAAAGAGAAAGGCAAGGCTGAGGGTCAGAGGAACCCTGAGGACTCCCTGCCAAAATTTGCGGCCGAGTCCTTCCTTCAGAACTTTGAAGGCCAGCTCTCACCTGCACCCGCTGTCGCCGCAATGCCGGCACCTGCACCGGCGCCGGCTGGAGAGGTGGGGGTTGCATCCACGGATTTGATGCCGTGCTTCAGACTTCTTTACGCCGCACGAGCGTGTTCAGGTTTGCTGGTGCAGCAGCCGCCCAGAATTCGCATGCATATCAAGCTCTCACTTCAAATGGTGGTTGCGGTCAAAGAAGTAGGACACCTGCTGGGTTGAGTAATCGTAGCGGCATCACTGCATGCCACAAGACACTCGGAGGCCGCCCCCACCCCCGCGCCGGCCTTTCCGCCCGCCTTTGCAGCCGCCGAAGGGAAACCCGGAGAGCTGCACCTTGGCACTTGGTCTTTATGTGCGCTCTCGTAGATGTCTATGGATGCTGTGTGGAACGATTCCTGAGGCACCTGACAGCAGGAGGTCACTGTGTGGAAGTGATCGTCAAAGCAGATGCCCAGCTGAAGTTGTGCTTCCCGAGATCAGTTGAGACATGTTCTCCCAATTCGACCGGTCGAATTTCATGGCAGTGCACATATTGCGGTTCACCCGCGCATGCGCACATACTAGGTTGCACTTGCAAACTGCTGCCTTTAAATTAGAGCAAACACACCCGTCACAAGCTTCGACCTTGCAGCTGCAGGGACCCGTCCCTTAAAAAGGTTTACCGGAAGGGCAACAGCAGATGTCATACGAACATTCGATGGACATGTTTGACAAGACCTTTCCTGTTGCCACAAGGACCGGGACAGCCGATCGATTCAGCTGAAGTGGCTTGACTGCTGTGTTCAACCGAATCTTGCAACCTCTCGCCACTTGCAATAGAGGTCTTGCTGAGCTTTAAACTTACGAACTACGAACGAAAAAGATGCGAGAGTGCAAGGAACTATGCAGTACTGCCCTTCCTCTTCCCTGAACTGATTGAAGCCTCCCAAAACCTCGACCCAAAAAAGGTATAACGGGCCCGACACTGGCCACTTGGACACCGTGATTCCTGGCCAGGCGCATGACGGAGTAGCATCGCGGTCCCTTCGGGTTTCAATAACAGGTTGCGCACCTCTTCGTATCAGCCTACTCAAAGATTCGTTTCTCAGTGGTGCAGCTCTGAAGGGGCTTGTGTTTCATTCTTGCGGCAAGAGTCGAGTCAACCTTCATGGACAACCGTTGTCATTGCCGATCAAGGTGGCGCAAATGCCTTGGGGTCTGCATCTGTCCCTATAGGGCAACAGCATGTCCCAGATCCTGCAGCACACAACGAAGCTAATTACTCAAACAAGAATCGAGAATCTGAGCGTTGTGTCTTGATCGTCCTGTTCAGGTTCTCTTCTGTGATCCAGTTGTCCCCTCATGCGTGCAGCCAGAGCTGGACCCGGCAGTGGTGAAGTTTGAAGATTCTTCGCAGTTGATTTCTGGGCTTGAATGATGGTGTCTAGCCGAAGAGAAAGAGAAACCAGGTATGAGAGAACACCATGTCAGCAAACCACTGAAGAACGCACGTGCTCGGCAGAAGCCAGACTGCGAGCCAGACACTCTGCAGGACAGCTGCAAGGCCTTCTCACCGTCGTGCAGCAGTCTTGGTTGCATCGAACCTCATCCGGTGCTTAGCGGCGTAGCGTTTGGAATCGGGGGTGACAAGTCCAATCTTCATGGATTTGCCCAAGGTGGTGGAGCTCCAGCACCTGCTCCAGCACTCGTGGCAGTGCCGCCACCAGCACCAGCATCAATGGAGCCCTCCATTCCTCCAGGCTTGGCTGGGACTGGGGCATGGATGGAACAGGGTTTAGGCAGCCGCACGCTGCAGTTTTGATCCGGAAGTGGGTGGTGAGGATTACGTAATTGAAGCTCTGCTAGAATGCAAGCCTGCGTCTCCTGCCAACATGGTGCAGGCTGGACCATCCCAAAGATGATGGAGGCACCGAAGTCCGGCAGTGGAAGACTTCGGATTTCCAGGCTTAAGTCGGAGGATGTGCTCCGAGCTAGCGCTGACAGAGCACAATGATGTTGCAGCTTTCCAGACTGGAAGCTGGACGACGGGATCTGACTACTCGTCACCTCATCACCGCACGTCTCAGGTCAAGGGATAGGCTCCTGGACGTTGCAGGGTAATCACGAAATTACCGATCACTTCAAGCACATCAAGGGCTGCCGATGTCATGGGCGAGTATCAGAGCTCTTCAGCGGCATCCGCTTTCCTTTCGGCATGCATCCTCCTGCGAAGGCAGTCGCTGGGACTCCAGTGAAGTAGCGTGGCCATCTCACCAGGGAAGGAGCCATTTTGCCCCAGTGCCCCTGGCACCTGAAGGATAGCCGTTCCAAGCATAAGTCTGATCGCACCCCGGCCCTAGACAAGCCCAACGCGCGAGTAGCAAAGTGTGAGAACGTGCCTGGCCACTTGCATCGACGCTGTGATGCGGATGTTCTAGGTCGGGGCTCAAGGTTTAAGTGGCTCCAGTTACATTGCATGCGTGTCTCAAGCTAAAGAAGCTCCGCGTACGCAGAGAAGCACAACAAACTCTCCCACAACGGTTGCTTTATGTCATGAGCACAGATTTGATGCAGGCAGCATAAGGAATTCCCAGATTATCGAGGGTTGCTGCCTCATGCCTCATGCGAGCTGCGAGTGGCAGCCACAGGTGGAAAAAGAGTGCTGTCTCTTTGGCATGCCTCCATGAAGATGCCGACGCACCAAATCCATCCAGCTTCTGCACTGTTGCTTTTCATAGGCCCATTGGAGTCGCTTCAGTGTTCTCCCCATCCTGGCATTCGCCGGAAGATCCCCGAGAAAGTCCTTCCTCGCAAAGTAACTGCGTTAGGCACCGGGCTGGCCACCACCTCGCACCGCCTGGTCTGCAGGCAGATCCGAGCAGTGGAGAGGGCAACTAAGACGACCCTAAAGGGTAGCAGCGGCAGATGTGGAAGGCGGAAGGACATAAGGAGCAGGTCTGTGCAGTGACCTGCCAGAGGCTGCCATAGGTTTGAGCCTCGAAGGTTGTCCCGATACGTGGCTCCTAATCAAGACACATGACGGCAGTGTGGGCAAGTTGCGTCCTACAGCACACAGAGAAGCGACCGAGGGTACGAAGCAATGCCTGGACCGAGGTAGTTCTCCTACCGATCGCGAGACTCCGCCGCCAGAGTATGCTCCTGTGTGGGGCAAGATTCCAGGCCCGGGCCCAAGCCTCAAGCGGCCCCGAAGTGGCCTGAAGGATCCATGCTGCGGGTTATCTTGAAGGTTGCACAGCTCCGCAGTCTGATACTAATGAATTACATGTTGGCTCTGTAGAATAAATCGCATTGAAAGCAAGCATTCAACGGTTGAAATCAGGTATGCGGATGATAAACAGGGAACAGGCGGGATTTATAGCTTTGTAAAGAAACGTGGGTTCTGTGTAGGAGAAACTCGAAGATCTCTTGGACACATGTTAAGAGCATCCTCTTCCTAGTCTTCTTGATACACTTACTACAGTTGTCGCGTTTATTGCGGGGTTTTCAAGGCGCCTTGAGCCCAATTTGCCACAGGAGTGCCTGTCCCTTTTACAGTTTCTAAGACTTGCCAGGTGCGGAGGAGATGTGGGCCTCGCCGAAGCAGGAGCCGAAGGCGTTCTCAGTTGAATCCTTCTCCTTCGGATCTACAGAGCTGTTAGCCTTCCGGGTAGGGTCGTCGTCGTAGGTGGGAAGAAGGGGCCAGGTCTTCGTCGCGTCTTGCATAGCAAACTGGCAGCAAGCCCTCCACGACTCCACGCCCTTCCCGGGTCTTATCGCCCATCCCCTGGTCATATCCAGGGCTCAACGGAAGCGGACGATCGGCAAAGCGCGCCGGAAGCCAAGACCAAGAACTGGATGCTAGGGTGTTGACCGGTTACAGGGCAGGGAGAACTGGGATGATGCGAGCGAACAGAAGTGCCAATGAGACATGACAGGAAGCCAATGCTGTGAACCTCGTGTAGGGAAACAGGACTAATTACAGTGGAAACCAGAGTGGCCATGACCGAGCTAGGCAGCCAGAGAAGCGGCAGCCCCACAAGTGACCAGAAGCTCCACAGCTGCAGGCATTCGCGCGTGAAGTGGGGAGACTGCCAGGACCGTTCTGAGGTTCGTGCCGCTGGAAGCCGAAGCTCCCAGGACGATGACCGCGAGAGGCCCGATAGCTGAGACTGAAGTGTAAGTCACTGTAAGTTCTGCGAAGAGTTAGCCCGGTACTCTGAAGACTAGGAGCACTCCGGGTCTTCAGAAGCACAGCGCGATGCAGGAGACGCGGGGAGATTCCGGACCACTTTGTGGGCCCTGGGACTACGGTCCTCGGTCGTTCGAGCTCCCATGGCAATCTCAAGGCTGTGGCGAATCGGGGGGGTCGGAGTGGCACGCGAACTAATGCCTGCTTCTGCCTGCTCTGTCTGCTTTGCCCCAAGCAGTTCCACTGCGTCGCTCAACACACGCCCAAAGAGAGCAAAGAGCACACAGATAGCCATAGCACCGTACTGGGACGCAGGGGGGGAGGTCGTGAAGCGATGTCAGGAGCAAACCTCAAGGCCACCACAGCTTCGAACTCTGCCTTGTCATCGAGCCAGCCGCGACATCCTCATTCGTAACCCGAATGCCCATCCGAAAGCTGTGAGGGGACGGTATCCTCCCAGAGACCTGGGCTAGAGAAAGGATCCCTTTCGACGTTAGGACCCAGCATTCCTTGGCCGGCATCGACGGCACGGGGCTGGTGTCGGGGAGCCTGGAGTTCTGAGGACTGAGCTTTGGTTTTGCATAAAGGGGCCGATTCTTGGAACTGGGGAGATAATGCTGATTGCCGTGATGAGTCTTACTGCTAGAACTTGACGGCTGTAGCGTTTCCGTTGGGTGTATGACTTGCACTGACACGGCTGAACTACTACTGTACAGACTTGCGTGTTTGTGTGCTGCGTGAGTCGTGGTCAGCATCGTCCAAGAGCTCAGGGCAAAATTTGCGAAGCTGGATTGGTTGAATGACCGGGCTGGCATACGATTGTCATAGTGGTTCTGTGATATGTGAATATCAGAACATATGAGAACCGTCATTAAAGGGGCCAGCCGTGGTTGTTGGTCGCGTTGCATTCGTGCTGGATGTCGTCGTGTTCGTGTTGGTGGTAGAATTGATTTGACTATTTAGCGAAATATGACTACTGAACGGCTGGCTATATTGACTAAATTTACGATTACATGATCGTTCGTCGTCCTCGCCGTCCTCGTCGTCGTCGCTGTTGTAGCAGCAACAGCAGCAGCAGCTATTATCGAAATCGTGGGTAGTGAGAGCGAGAGAGCGAGAGAGATAAAGAGAGAGAGTGAGAGTTAGTGAGAGAATGAGAGAAGGTTCGCCCTCAGGCCCTGTGAAAGAGGGCGGATAAGAACAAGCAGATCATTAGCGGATGTCGGGAGTAGGATGGATGCCTTGTGAAAGCATGATTTCGTGCTTCGTGCAATGGGAGTTCTGGGAGCTCCTGTTCTGCGATTGTCCAAACGGGGTCTGGTGGTGAAGTAGACTATCCCAACATGCCCTGCCCCAGGGCCCGCCACGAATCCATGGATT